GTGTTTTGCAATAAAGAAAAGTTAAGCCTTGTTTTAGTTGCAGTTGTTCGTTATTGCTGCCAGGTGTTTTGCAATAAAGAAAAGTTAAGCCTTGTCTTAGGTGTAATTCACGTTATTGCTGCCAGGTGTTTTTGCAATAAAGAAAATTTAAGCCTTGTTTTCGTGTTATTGTTCACGTTATTGCTACCAGGTGTTTTGCAGTAAAGAAAAGTTAAGCCTTGTTCTAGGTGCAATTGTTCACGTTATTGCTGTCGGGTGTTTTACAATAAAGAAAAGTTAAGCCTTGTTCTAAGTGTAATTGTTCGTTATTGCTGTCGGGTGTTTTACAGTAAAGAAAAGTTAAGCCTTGTTCTTGTGCAATTGTTCACGTTATTGCTGTCAGGTGATTTGCAATAAAGAAAAGTTAAGCCTTGTTCTAGGTACAATTGTTCACCTTAGTGCTATCAGGAGTTTTGCAATCAAGTTATCCTCGTTCTAGGGGCAATAGTTCATCTAATTAGTGCTACCAGGAGTTTTGTAAAAAAAAAAAAAAAAAAAAAAAAAAAAAAAAAAAGTAGAAGCATTAATATCCTATCAATTAATTTATCAAGTTAGTCCTCCCAGGGGTTCAATAGTAAAGAAAAGTTACCATAGTTCTTGGTGTAATATTTCCTGAGTGCAACCAGGTGTTTTGTTAAAGAAAAATACCATAGTTCTTGGTGCAACATTGAACAGTACAACGAGGTGTTTTGTTACAAAAAAACAACAACAACACTTCTAGGTGTAAAATTTCTGGAGTGCAACTAGGTGTTTTTTTTTTTTTTTTTAATAAAGAAAAAAAAAACTAGTTCTAGGTCAAATGTTTCATCATGTTCTTACTACCAAGGTTGAGAATGATTTTGAAATTAACTAGAAAACCTCTTATGCCGAGCCTGGAACTAAAGACGACAGAGAACATTAAACACAATTAAGGAGGATATACCTTAAAGACCTCAGTACCATTGTTAATAAGACCAAAACTAATACGCGTCTGAAACACATATCAAACCTGACACACATGGCTGGAACACAAGCATGAAAAAATATGAAAATTAACCGATTCATTCCAAACTTTTCGATTCAAAACAAAGGTCACGTGACACCTTTCTTCTTAAAGGAAACTACTGACCACTTTCCTCTTAAAGGAAACTACTGACCACTTTCCTCTTATGTTTTACTGAAATTACACCAAAAAAAAACTTGAATTTGGTGAGAACTTCATGACTAACTTGGGCATCTCAGATAAATACGAGAGGTTAGTGTTCTGGGGTTCCTTAGGGTATCGGCGAGGTATTCTTTCTTGGAGGGATGTGTATGGCACTGGATTGAGGTTTACGTTATGTGAGCTTCTCTCACCTCCTCTCTTTCTCGCTTTCTGTATTTCTCTTCTTCTCTCTCTCTCTCTCTCTTCTCTCTCTCTCTCTCTCTCTCTCTCTCTCTCTCTCTCTCTCTCTCTCTCTCTCTCTCTCTCTCTCTCTCTCTCTTCACCTTTCTCTCTCTCTCCCTCCCTTCCCCCTCTCCCTCTCCTCTCCCTATCCCCCACCCCCCCATCCCCTCCTGAACCACTCTCTCTCTCTCTCTCTCTCTCTCTCTCTCTTCACGCTTTCTCTCCTCTCCTTCCCCTTCCCCCTATCCCCCCCTTCCTTCCCTCTCCTCCCTCTCCCCCCCCCTATCCCCCCCCCCCTATCCCCCTCCCCACCACCTACCTCCGATGAACCAGGCGAAAGTTGCCAGAGACACGACGAAGCTCACTAATTTGACCGGCAGTGACACGCTTTTCCCCGACTTGTAGCTCCTGGTCGCCATGCCGCCCGTACCGATACCAAACAGCATGATGATACCTGGAGTTTGCGGGAAAGAACAGATGATATTAGGTAGTTGTTACGATACAAACAGCATGATGATACCTGGAGTTTGCGGGAAAGAACAGGTGCTGATACGATGATGATACCTGGAGTTTGCGGGAAAGAACAGTGATATTAGGTAGTGTTAGGTAATAGTACTGATACCAAACAGCATGATGATACCTGGAGTTTGCGGGAATGATATTAGGTAGTTGTTAGGTAATTAGTAATTAGTACGATACCAAAACAGCATGATGATACCTGGAGTTTGCGCGAGAGAAATGGGTGATGTTAACAACGGGTGATGTTAGGTAGTTGTGAGGTAATGAGGTGATATTAGGTTGTTAGGTAATTAGGTAAAGAGGTAATTACGCGAAAGGGGTGATTCGACATCCAACAAATTAATAACGGCGACAATGATAATAACAACAATGAGAAAAGCATTTAATAACATCCAATAAATTAACAATACAGGTGACAACAACAATAACAATTGGAAATAACAACAAATTAACAACACCGACAATAGCAATAATGAGAATAACATTTAATAACATCCAATAAATTAACAATACAGGTGACAACAACAATAACAAATGGAAATAACAAATTAACAACACCGATAATAACAATCATAA